AAGTCATGGCCAGGAGAGGGGTGGAGGTGGCCAGCTGGCCTCTGGCCTTCCAGAATAGCACCTATGGGGATTTGGGGAGTGGGGAACTGTGTCATCCTGGGGAGCTGTTGGCTTTCCAGGCATGGGGATGGTGCTAGCAGGAACAGAGCTGGAGCAGCTCTTCCCTCTCTGCTGGCTAAGCCTGACGCAGGGGATGAGCTGGTGGGGATGTCAGTCTGGGTGTTCTGCAGCAGCACAGGCCCAAGCAGTGCTGCCTGGGGGTGGGTGAGCCCCGGCATCGCTGCTTGCACTTGCTTCCTCCTTCCCCCTGCCCCGAGGTGCGTGGGGGCTACCAGCCCTGACTGGAGGGGGGACTGCAGCTGCTGCTCTGGGGCCAGGCGTGGGTGATCATTCCATGCCCCGCCTGCGATGTGCTGCTTGCTCATATATGGGCAAGAACTGGGGAGCCTGGAAAGTGTGAGTCAAGGCTTTTGATCCTGCCTCCTATTGCAGCGTTTGTGCCTGTCTTCGGGGGCGTCCCAGTTGCTGGAGCCACTGCTTCCCAGGCTCTGCGCAGCATCAGTACGCTGGACCCAAACAATGGCTTTATAAGGGCAGAGCCCTTCTTTGCACTGCCATTGCTTTGCTGTCGCCCCCTGAGCCGGGGCCAGTGGTGGCAGAGAGCCTCCGAGGGCTGAGGCAGGCTTTCCCAAGGCCCTGAGCATGCACCCCCCCTTCCCCAGGGTGGCTGAATCACAAGGTAGGGCTGCTGCCAGCCAGGCTGTAGGCACAGAGCCCATTGCCTCCACAGCTACATCGACTTTGGTGCAGCAGAGGCCCAGTGGGAGAGCTGAGGCAGCAGGATGTTGGAGCAGGATCCTGGCAGAGCCCTGGACTGGGTGGCTCTCCTTGGCCCTGCTGGTGTCAGCCCAGGGGGCTGGGGGGGCTGTGCTCTGCAGGCTGTGTACAGTGGGGTTACAGCAGCCTGGAGAGAGAGGGGAGAAGGCTTGGGAGGGTGTTGTGGTGGGTGGCAGCTTGGGCTCCAGACCCTCCTGGTGCCCAGTGCACACTGTTGGGGCAGAGCACCCGCTGGAGGGTGGCCCCGGGCCCGTGTAGCCAGACCAGCCATGGCAGCAGTCAGGGCTCACAGTTCCCATGACGCAGCCCCCGGCTGCCAGCACAGCCCCTGCCCTGGGAGCTCATGGCTACACTGGCTGTTACCATCAGCAGCAGCCCTGGGTGCTCCGG